CTATTGAAACCAACTAACGGGTACATGAAAATGTCCGGAACACACACCTTGAGAAGCTCAGGAGCTAAACTTGACGCTCGTCAGGTCGTAACTGAAGGCTATGAAGCCACCAAGAGTAAGAAAGGTAAACGCCCAGAGCAGTCTGAGCGCGTGAGAAACGATCAATCAGATCAGGGCAATCTGTCGCCCTCGTATCAGACCGATGCCGAAGATCTTATCGGCATGAGAGAAATAGCCGAAAGGCTCTGGAACCAAGGGGGCAAACGTCCACTTAGAATCGAAGACATCAATTTAATAATTGAACAATCTAGTGTAAAGAGAGGTAAAGAATATTTACAGTTACTACTCCTACACCGGCGCATGGAAACACGTCGCGTCTCGGACCTCGGGCCAGCCGAATGGTTCAACATCGAAGCTAAAACCGAGTCTGCGGGAGGATCTGGAAACGGAAACGCACCTCAAAGTGGACCGGCCCGGCGAGAATTCATTACGCCCCGCACGGACGGTAATGAAGGCGATACAGAAGAAGAAAACGAGGTCAGGCGTACCACTTCGATCATACGAAGCCGTCCAGAAACGGATGAGGAAGATGATCTGTATGCCGACCCAGACCCTGACGTCAGAACCCAGAACAATGGTGCCGCGCCATCGCGTGCCACTACTTCTCCGGCACAATCAAGACCGATCCCAGGACGAGCAGTGACTGCCCCTCCGGCAGTGTCCCCCCAAGGAACACGACAAATGAGTAATAGAGGGTCGGGAAGCGGCCCCAGTAGTAATAACAGCTCCCGGACGGGAGGAGGCAGTCAACGCTCACATAGGCATGGAAACAGGCGTGGGAACACGCCTGGAGGAAACGGAGATCCAGGATCAGGAAGTGATGGAAGCGATACCGAATCGGGAAATGACCCACGTAACCGGACACCTGGCAATAACGCGAGATCGGACGATGAGGATATGCGTGCGTTGCGTGAAGGCTCGTATATTCCGTTCAGCAACCAGTTCACGGGAGTGAGCCTCCGTACCATGTACCATAATAAAATTAAGTACATGATAGATACATATGTAGGAAACTACATAGAGCCTGATGCTAATACAAAAAATCAGAAACCACCTGCACCAGAAGCCTGGGACGGCCAAAATGATGCCGACAAATTCATGGATTGGCTCGAGTCCCTTCTCGAGTATTTCATACTTACCGGTCTGTCGGGACCGCGCCGTGATATCCTGCGGAAATTGCATACCCCCGCGCGATTGGGCGAAAAGGCACGCCGGTGGTGGCGCCTGAAGGTGTCCCGAGTAAATCCGGGAGTACGGACACTTGACTTTACACAGGCAATCATAGATATGTTTGACCGTTTCGTGATAGATATAACGCCTGAAAAGGCTATTAAGAAATATAAAGAAATTAAATTCGACTCTGATGCCGGAGTACAGAGTTTCTACGACGATCTAATTGAGGCATCGTCTAAATTATTGCAACCTCCCTCCGAGGTTGACCTATCGGAACACTTCCTAATGAAGCTGCCCCAACCCTATGTAACTCACCTGATGCGAAACAAAGGAGTACGCGTCGGCATTACCAAATTGAGGAAGATGCTACGCTACGCCATCGAATACGAGAACTCGAACATCGCGATCGAAGCAGCGATGGCGCTTCGAAGAAGCCGAGAAAATTACACGGCGAAAGCCAAGTCACCGGAGCGGCGCTCGGACAATCAAGACCGCGAGCGTGGCGGCAATGACCGCAAAGGCAACCGAAACAGATTCCGCCCCCGGAACACAGAAGACACGTCGTACAGGATCACAAAAAATCCTGACAACGCAAATGCAATTCCTGTAAAGGTTGTATCTACGGGAAACAACTATGATACTGGGAACGGACGAAGGGACGGACGGGCCAGCGCCCAGAACCCCAATTACATCGCGAAGCCGCGATTCAATCCCAAGATAGCTCACCTGGCGTGCCGCACGTGCGGCGAGAAGGGGCATCTCGCCGCGGATCACTACGCTAATAGCGCCCAGATGAACGCCCTAGATGCCGAGGATGGGCGCGCAGAAGCGGAACACGAGGCACCGCCGGAGAGTGCCGACAACGAGAAAGCGGCCCCAGAGGACGTGGAAAATGACGAAACGTATTATTTGGAGGCCTATGAGGCCCACCAAGGAAATACTAACGACGATGACTACTCTACAGATGGAGGAGAGGTCGTTTTCATGAACGAACTACTCGTAAGTGACGACGGCGCCCATAACAATGGGCGCGATCCGGCGCCGTTCGCGTACGCACAGCCTTCCCGAAAAGGAAGGCGCCCAGAACCTCCGCGCGAAGCACGGGATGCGATACGCTCGGCGCTACATCGGGACAGCGATCTCAGCCGTCCGAAGTATCCGAAGGCATGGACAGAGCTCCTCGCTGCCTATGTATCAATTAATGGTGTCCGGGCATGGACATTATTTGACTTAGGGTCGAATACAGACGCTGTTAGTACTGAATTCGCGCAAATATGTGAGCTCGACGTATTCGAACTCGAAAATCCAATTACTTTGAAACTCGGCTGCAAAGGAAGCCGTTCTAAAATTACACATGGCGGATACTCACGTACCGCCCTCGGAAGCATCAAGACCAATTGGTATTTTGACGTCGCCAACATTGCCCATTACGACGCCGTAGTAGGCTTACCATTCTGTGCAAAACACGGAATTACAATTACACCGGAGTGCCGAACGATTAAGCTACGGGACGGTACTCTAATTCCCGCTGAATTGGAAGGGGGGAGGACCGGAGGAGGCGACAAATGGGCTAAGACCATCGAAGCCAAGCCGCGGTCCTTTCGGAAGCAAAACTAAAATTAGAATCAATAATCTCCGCCCGCGACCCAAGACAGCGGTCCGCTCACACGGACTCGACACGCAAATGCCAGATATTTCTGAGCATAATGTACCTACAGTACTTACAATGGCAAGCGCTATTGCAGACGAAGAGATCAAGGACATCAACTTTCCAGAAGAATTTGAAGTTGCCTATGAACAACATAAGGCCTCGGAAGAGGCCCAAGCCAAAACTCCGTGGGGCAAACGGATACCGTTCCCCGGACCGCCCACAACGCCACCATCACGCGCCCAAGAAGCGCTAAGCGAAGAAGCCATCCCACGCCTGCGACAGCAATGGCAGGAACGGATCTCAGATATCACGGGCGATATCCCGCTCGAGAAACCCCCGTACCGCGAGGTAAACCATAGAATCAATATTATCGATCCTAGTAAAAGATATAGAGGCCATAGGCCGCGATGCCCGGAAGCATACCAAAAGNTCTANAAGATAAGATTGAG